ATTCATTTTTTGTTTTAGCTAGTTCATTTTTCAATTTTTCAGTATGTTGATGCGCATCTTCTTGATCCTATTTTACTTTAGAATTAAATTTTTTAGCAATAAAAAAAATGAATCGCAAGTGCATACACGAAATAAAAAGTTATTACGACTTACGGAAAGATCCTGAACAAATAATTCTTGTACCTCGCCTATACTATGCGAGGATAAATCTACAAAAGAACAAACAAATATCTCGCCATTTTCGAGTTTCTATTTTGAAAAAGAGAAAAACATTTTTTACTAGCGCTATAAAACCAGTAATCACCATCTCATTCAAACAAACGTGCCCGCAGCCATGGATGTCGCGAGGTCCTCAAAATTTGAGAGATCGACCGATTTTTTGAGAACCGGCGAGCAAAAATAAAGAATAAAATGCTGAAATTTTGATAGAAAAAAAACAAAAATTTTTCAAGATTGGAGGTGACTTCCCTCGTCCTGCCACTCGCGACAGCCCTGTCCACAGACACACCCTATCAACGAATGATCGAGAGATCAAAGACAAAGTCGATGCCATACAATCTATAAGATACATTCTGAATAAACCATGATGCCAATCTACGCTATAAACTAATATATATTTTTTCTTGCCGAATATTGTATCGTTGATCTACATCCATCGAAACTAATTTTCATAAAAGATCGAGGATTCCCACCATCTGTTCTTTGCAGAAGTGATACAACTGAGAAAACATTAGCATGAAATACAACATCCTGAAATCTTTTCGAGCACTAAAATAATCAATGAAACAAGACCTAATATGACAATGAAAACAATATGGCGTAAGTCTTGAGTTGGCCACTAAGAACTGGATGGAAAAGAGTGAGACACGAAACAGACGTTTATTGGCTCTAGTCAACAAGAAAAAAACAATCAATTTATAGATCCGTCTATTCTAACTTCTTCTGTTTCACATTCCAAAACGTTGGTATAAGTAATGAGAAAACTTGTTCTGTGGACATGATTTAGAAACAGTTAACCATCAGATGATGTTGACAATTCAACATTACCAATCTCCGTAAACAATATGATTCTTTTTTAACGCAACAGAAACATCATAAACACATTTCTACGCCGAGTGAGACTCAAGAGAATTCGGTTAGTCACTATCCTAGGACGTATCCGACATACGTACAGTCATCGTTCGATGATAAAATGATCGCAAAAACATGTTTTCTTTTCAAATGTTATTTAACGTCCAATCAAATTATGAGCGTTGTGTAGTTGCATTTGCTTTTAAAAATCATTTTCGCGAGCCATAGGACTACAACAAATCCTGTATAAACTTGAGATTTGGATTGAGTTTAGTTTCTGAATTTACATTTCGTTCAGATTCTGGTAACAAGATTGCAGCTATCGTTTGAATTTAGGATTTGGTTTCAATCCAAATCTTCAATACCAAATCCGAATTCAAACTATTTCATATCAATTTTTTAACGCTTAGGACTTTTTGCCTCTTTCTAATACTTTATCTAACAGATCTTCATAAGATTTGGATAGTTTAAGACCAAATCCAAAATTTTGTGCACGAAATCTCAAGAATGAAAATATCATTCTGATAAGGCATATGCTTTCTGTCTACAGATATCCAAATAGTGACATCATGAATCATTCATACTATTAAAGTGCTTATTAATAATATCCTACCTCTAGTTGCACGAACACTGATGCTCATTGTGGATGTCTAAAAGTATGAGATATTTCACGAATATCTTCTTTTTAAAATGTTTATTGTCTGACCCTTCGGCTGAGTCGATCATTTTCAGTACTGGCAGCTGTTGTTGAAATTGATCCGTTCTATGAACAAAAACATATAGTTATGCACTAAGGTAAGAACACTCCGATATTTTTTAAATTACTCGAATTCCACTGAAGGATCTTCTTCTTGAATTAGATATATTCTCTGTAGTCGCTGTTGAAGTATCTACAATACATGAGTTTCATTTTTGTTTTAGGAGCTGATTCGAAGCAAAGACAGGCGTCCTCGACAACAGTAGGAGCCGTGGAAGCTTCGTATAGAACGAGAATGTGAGATATTCTATTCCGTGTTACTCTCGTCAAAAATTCAAGTAAAACAAAATGCCTTATCCTTCTTTGAACCATTCGATTATCATCAATAAAAATTCTCATTGAAATTTTCCTCTATTTTGTTTTATTCTGGAAAAAAATGAAAATTTCCTGATTGCAAGTACCACAAATTAGGAAAAACTCCAAAGTATACGATCGTCTATAGCAATTTTTATCATCACCATCATTGTTTAGTTTCAGAGAAAAATCAACACAATAAAAACCTAAATCAAATCATCTAGATATTTTAACACTCAAAAGTACATAGGACGTGGATGCGTTACAGAAAACACAAAATATCCACACCCATACCCGAAGTTATTGTCAATTTATGACAAAAGAAATGAAAAACTTCAATTCAAATAGATTTTGTTAAACGCTTAGAGTTTCTATCAAAACTCATCCTGATCTATGTACTATGAAAATCAGTGTTAGATCATTTTCAAGTCAGCCTTTAGTAGAGTATAAATATAAGCTTCGCTATGTACATGTTTATCATAAATATAAGTTGTGAATGAAATTTTATACAATTTTCTAGAACATTATATTTCTCAAAGTAATTCTCATTTGTATGAGTGAATTAGTTTAGATCGATAAATGAAAAGAGAAAATGAGATTGAATCGATGGAACAATATCTTATCTCTATCTCTCTACTTCAAAATACTTACATCTTGGTTGTATTTCTCGAATATAGATAAGATGATTCCAATCAATTTGATTATTATCAATAATTATACTTTTATTTGTATCTTTTTCAATAAATTGTTTAAGTTTTTGTTGAATTTCATTGATTTTTTGTTTAAGTCGATTAATATCATCTTCAGCAAAATTTTCTTCTTTTCGAAGACAACGAATTTCTCTTGTAATTGGTTCAAGTTGTTTTGTCATTATCATACGTTGTTTATCAATTAATTCAATCAATTCATGATGAGCTTTTTCTGCTGCTTTTTCAACTTTTTTTATTGCTGTTTTTTTCCATTGTTCAATTTGATCAAAAAGATCCAATGATAAATAATTTGATTTTTCTAATTTTTGCATTTGTTCAAGAAGTTCATCATGTGATCTCACTATATCATTATCAAATTTTATCGATAGTTGTTGTTCATGTTCTTTGAAATCCTTTCGACAAAAGTATTTTTTACATCCCGCACAAATGGATTTTGCCTGAGTCTTGTTGCATGCTGAACAAAAATTTAATTCATTTATTGTTGCCATCTCCGAATTATTTTATTTATTATGTAACTTTGTCGATCTATAATGAATTCATTTGAATATTTATAAAAAAAGAATAAAATAATGATTTCCTTAATATTCTTGTTTTATGATTCAAGTCGAATCTCGATCATTTGTTTCCAATATGACTCTATATATATGTTTAATAGAAGCATGGAGACAAGATTACATCAATCTTCAATAGATTCCTGTGCTTATAACTTAATAATATACAAATCTTGATCAAATTCGATCATATGGAATATTTCTTAAATTCTATTCGAGAAAGAATAAAGTCTAATGAAATAAATCGATTTACATTGATGAAAATACATGTAAGTTTAATATAGGAATTTGTCCATAAAGGATAACGGACTTTTAATCAGTGAAAACTGATTTTCGTTCAGTGAAAAATATCTACAAATTGAAAATAAAATACATTGGAAAAAATTTCACTTCAATGAGACAATAATCGAAAATTGTTGAAAATAATTAGAGAAGGTTTTTTCAAATAAAACTTCAATTTTTATTCATTGTGATAACAAACATAGTTTTAAAAACTGTCTCGTATATTTTCATGAAGGATCTCTTAATTTGACGGTAAATTCTGCAACAACATTCGAAAAGCTATGAATAAAATGGAAAATTTAGAACGACTTCTCCAACATTCTTTTCTTTGTATTGTTTTTCTCATACTAGAAGAAAAACAAACGAAATATTTCATGATCACTTTTCTTGAAGTATCAAGTTGACCAAACTAAGTCTATTTTATAGCTAAAAGATATATATATATATTTATTTTGCGTTTATCTACTAGAAAATAAATCACATCTACTGGAAACATTTCGATCAAAAGAATCTCACAAACTCGATTTCGAAATAAGTTTATTTTGAAAATTTTCATTGTTGTATAAAAATTAAATATTTTGATATCGCATGAAGTTTTCTTTCATTCAACATTTTTATCTACTGCCATGCATTGATTGATTAGAGTCCATAAATGCAAAGCAAGACAAAAAAACACAGATGATAGAGAATTTTAAGTTCTATCATAATTTATAAGTACTTAGTCAACGTTTTATTTTTATGATTATCATAATTGAAAGTAAGAAGAAAAAAGTAACGGCTTCCAATATTTGTCTATTCAAGGTCTGTTAGCTATAATCAAATTATTTTCTAATAAATAAATGAAGGGTGTG